TTGGTGGAAAGGGCTGCGAATGGATTGCTTCCGAACTGTTCCTGCGCTGCGTTCAGCATCGGCTCCTGGAGTTCGGTATACATCCGTCGCAAAGCGTTATAACCGCCGGGAATGCTCTCCAGATTACTGAGCGCTCGGTCTTGAGTTCGCATCAACTCCTGTAACATCGATGGGTTGCGAACCATTTCCATCGTCTGTCGCAACAGTTCCGGATTGTTCAGCATATGACTGATCTCTGGATTCCTTTCCATCAATGTTTGCATTTGAGGGTTAGATGTGAGAAGAGTTCGCACGTAATCCGGGTTTGACATCAATTGCTGAACGATCGGGTTCTCCATCATCTGTCGTAACATATCTGGGTTTGACATCATCTGAATCGACATACAGTTCCTTCAATTATCACTTCCTTGAGGACACAAAATGGTTGAATACCTCGCTTTGCATTCGCTGCTGAATCTCATTAAAGCTGTTCCCTAAGCCTAAGTTAGACAACCCCTGGAGGCCCGCAAAAGGCTGTCCCAAACCGAAAGCATTGGCGCCCATCGAAGACATGTTATCTGTATTTTGTGTCGTCGGTTCCGACGACGGCTGCGATGAAGACTTTATGGCGAAAGACATGTATTTAGTTTCAGTCAACAACAGAGTGATTGGCAAACAATACCTGATTTCCTGATCGTATGACGAGATGTACTGTCAGTCCGTCTTTGATTTCTGAACACCAAAATAAAGACACAATTAATGCATTCAAACAGATATCATATGATAAGAGTTGTGACAAATGGGTGTAAATGAGGACAAGTGGTCACACGAAGACGTACTGTGAGTGTCGAGCGATTCATTATCTTTCAGTATCTTTCCGGCGAATATAAGACAGATCTGATCGATGTCTGTCTTAAACCTATCGGCGACCATCTCTTTGAGCTGCAAATCAAACACCAAATGACGGGTCAATCAAGTGATTCATTAAACAAATAGCAATAATAGCAGTCATTTCAAGACATATAGGATTGCAATGAATGACACAATTGAAGGAAA